GTTAGCAAAATTTCCCTGAAATATTTTGCCAGATATGATCATTCTGAAAGCTGATCTGAACCTGCTGTAAAAGAAAGCATAAATTAATGGATTCAGCATTGAATTGGACAGTGTGAGCCAGTTAAGTGTTTCAATCACAGGGACTGGTGCAGGGCGATCAGCAAAGGGCTGGAAGACAACACATAGAAAGTAAGGAGTCAAACATAACAGGAAAACACCCATAACTATAGCCAGAGTTTTGGTGGCCTTCCTCTCCATCTTACTGACAGCTGCTCCAGACTTTGTTACATTCTGGATGCTGTTTGCTTGTTTCTGTGCAACCAGGAAGATTTTGAGGTAAATACAGAGCATTATAATCGCTGGAAAGTAAAACGAGAAAACAGGTCCCATAATGTTTGCCACTGTAACATCAACAGGGCACATTTCTTCACATGTACCTTGGCTGAATCCTCCAGTTACGATACCAACTGATATAAAAGCAGAAATGCCCCAACTCACCAGAATCATAATCACAGTAACACGAGCAGTTATTTTACTTTTGTATGTCAGAGGCTGACACACTGCATAGTATCTGTCTATGGAAATGCAGCACAAGTTCAGAATAGAAGATGTGCACAATAATACATCAAAGCTGTCCCGTATTTTGCACATTAAATCCTCATGGTGCAGACATGCGGTGACAGTGAAGGCCATGCTGGAAGGAAAAACTAAAACTCCTACAAGCAAGTCAGCCACTGCCAGAGAGAGGATGAGGTAGTTTGTAGGGATGTGGAGCTGTTTGAAATAAATGATGGAGATTATTACAAGAAGGTTTCCACATATTGTGACCACAGACAGTGAACCAAGGAACAGATATAACAACACACATGTTATGGAAGGGTTGCTTGTAAATGTGTGAGACTCATTGTTTGATTCATAGCAGGGATGTATGGCACTAACAACAGAACTGCTACTGACAGTCAACTCTTGATCCATGTGTTTTCTGCAAAATCAATCTGTAACATGAAGAAAATGTGAAAGAT